GCCTCAGAACAAATTCAGTATTCAATCCCTGAGGAAATGGAAAAGGGTTCTGTTGTGGGAAATCTTGCCAAAGATTTGGGACTGAATACTGGAGAAATAGCAGATCGCAATCTTCATATACTTTCTCTAGGTAAAAAGCGATATTTTACTGTCAGTGCCCAAAATGGAAACCTATATGTGAATGAGAGGATAGATAGAGAGGCAATCTGTGGGAAAACTGCACTCTGCCTAATTAATTTTGAAGTCATGGTTGAAAATCCCATGAATATTTTCCATGTAAATGTAGTAATCCAGGATATTAATGATAACACACCATGTTTCTTAAATGGGGATATTAGGCTAGAACCAAGTGAATTCACTTTGTCAGGAGCCAAGTTTGTTCTTGGGTATGCTGCAGATCCAGATGTTGGAATGAATTCTCTCCAGAGTTACCAGCTCTCACCCAATCAATATTTCACACTGGAAACTAGAGAGAGAGAAGATGGAAATAAATATGCAGAATTAGTACTGAGTAAACAGTTGGATCGGGAAAGTGAAGGCAGTTTCCATTTAACTCTTCTTGCTGTGGATGGAGGCAAACCTGCCAAAACTGGGACAGCCAAAATATCGATTGATGTCATTGATGCCAATGACAACACCCCTGTTTTTGCACAAGAAATATACAAGGTCAGTTTGAAGGAAAATGCCCCCAAAGGATCTTCAGTGGTACAGGTGAAAGCCACTGACAAAGATGAAGGTTCCAATGGCCAGATCAGCTATAGGTTTAGCAGCATCGCTGAAAGTGCTCGCAAAATGTTTTTGCTAGATCCGCAAAATGGGACGATTACAGTTATTGCAACACTGGACTTTGAGGAAACAGATGCATACACTATGACAATAGAAGCAAAAGATGGAGGTGGATTAGTTGCACACTGCAATGTTGAAGTAAAGATATCAGATGAGAATGATAATGCCCCCGATATTATCCTTGTCTCCTTATCCAGCCCAATACCTGAAGATTCTACATCTGGAGTATTAATTGCTGTCTTCAATGTAAATGATAGAGATTTTGGAGAAAATGGAAAAGTCATGTGCCAATTACAAAATGATTTGCCTTTTAAAATAATATCAACATCTAGTAACTACTATAAACTTCTTACAGAGGGTACCCTAGATAGAGAAAACACACCTGAATATAATATCACAATTACAGCTGCAGACAAAGGCATTCCCTCTCTCTCTATGCAAAAAACTATCACAGTAAAGATTTCTGATGTTAACGACAACCCACCCATCTTTGAGAAATCTTCCTACACAGCTTATGTGCAAGAAAACAACCCCTCTGGAGTTTCCATTTTCAATATCAAAGCCTCAGATCTGGATCAGGACCACAACTCAGAAATCATTTACTCTATCCTTAACAGCAACATTGAGGACCTGCCTCTCTCCTCTTATGTCTCCATTAACTCTGAGACGGGGATTGTTTATGCACAGCGCTCCTTTGACTACGAACAATTCAGGGAGTTCCAACTTCAGGTGAAAGCCCAAGATGGAGGTTCTCCTCCCCTGAGCAGCAATGTCACAGTGAAAGTGTTTATTGTGGACCAGAATGACAACAGCCCTCAGATCCTCTACCCTTCCAAAGGTGTGGAAGGTTCAGGTTTGTTTGAGATGATACCCCGTTCAGCTGATGCAGATTATCTGGTGACCAAGGTGGTAGCGGTGGATGCTGACTCTGGACACAATGCCTGGCTCTCCTACCACCTGCTTCAGGCCACAGAGCCAGGGCTCTTCACAATTGGACACCATACTGGTGAAATCAGGACATCACGAACATTTTTGGAAAGAGATGTTGTGAAACAGAGGCTAATTGTCCTGGTGAAAGATAATGGACACCCATCATTATCTGCTACAGTGACACTGAACTTGGTGTTTGCAGAGAACTTCCAGGAGGCCCTTCCAGAAATGAAGACCCAGTCCATCAGTCCTGACTATCAGTCTGATCTGCAGTTCTATCTGGTGCTGGCCCTGGCTTTGATCTCCTTCTTGTTCCTCTTGACAGTGATTCTGGCCATTCTGATGAAGCTTCGGCAATCAGGGAATCCCAAGTTCCTTCAGTGCTTTGGTCCAGTTCCTTCAAAGACAGGTACCATCTTTCCACCAAACTATGAAGATGGGACCTTACCTTATTCCTACCAGGTTTGTCTGTCCTCAGAATCCAGGAAGAATGAGTTTACATTTCTGACACCCAGTGTCCAAATTGCAGACATTGTTCTTTGTGGTGACAAATCTGGTGTGCCTTCTATAGGTAATGAAGGAAACGCTTCAAATTCTGAGACGGAGCATGGTGACCAGGTAAGTTTTCTTTTCAGAAACAGTTTATGTGGTATATCCGTAATCCTTTTTAGAAAACCATAATGGAGAGTATAGTTTTTTACAACTGTCTTCCAATGGCCAAGATGAATTTTCTTTTAAATATAATTTTCATAACACGCTGCAAAATATGTTGTACTTTAGAATGAGAAATAATGGTGCAGTGAGTGAAAGTCTGTCAGTTTTCTATGGATAGTTAGTATACAATTTGTGATCTCCTGAAATTTTTTTATTTTTATTGAAAACCATTGCTATAAAGGGACAACTCATTGCTTGCCATCACATCTCAGTTTCCCAGCCAAATGTGCAAAATGTCTGCAGTGGGAAGTAATGTGCTTGTGCTGAGTTTGGGGAATATGAAACCTTCATCTGTGGCAACTGATCCATGATAGTTCATTCTCATGTACAAATCTAAAAGTAGCTGTCCTCTGAGAAGATTTTTTCCCCCTGTTATCCTGGTGTTCCGTCAATTGTAGTGGCTTTAGAAGCATTTCAGGTGACTGAGATAATAACAGATGGGAAGGAATGGATGAAAGCACGCAAATGATAATTTGAATGGGCTTTGACTGAAGTAACTCTGTTTAGGATTGCACTGCTAGTGTGTGGATTAAAGTGAATTGAATATATTCAAAAGAGTTTCTTGGACTAGATCAAACAAGTTCATATATTCATGTTTCTTCACATTTTCGATGTTGAAATTACTATAATTTTTTAACATGAGCTATGTTTGCTACAGCAAAAACAATATAGAATATTCTGGGAACTTCTGTCTCATGTACTCTCCAGCATCTACATGATGTGGTTACTATCATAAAATAAAACCATAAAAATAAAATCAAAAATATAATGAAGTAACTCCAGAAACACAATGTGAACAATAAAACCCATTCTCAGTGTTTTAAAAGAGCAAGCAGCAATTGCCAATTGGTCACTATATAAATGTTAATTTATAACAATATGCATATACTTAATTATTTTAAATGTTTTTAACACACCTGTGACAGTGAATACTTAATGCTTTAACCTGGTCTGAGAACCCTGATTGACAGGATGTTCAAATGGATTTCTACAGTTGAGAGTGGCAGTTAAGAATGGCAGTTGAGAGTGACAGAACTGTGAGAATTTAGTTAGAGTTCAGTTAAGCAGAGTGAAAGGATTGACGAAGATCCTGAAGTAGGGAAATGGGACCTTGGCTCCTTCTAGGGTTGCCAAGTGAGAATTGAGCTGCAGCGGGGGACTCCTGGCTTGCGGCTGGAGCGCGAGCACGCACCACATCCACGTCACCTGGAAGTGACATGGGCACACCGGGGCCACAACCATCCGAGGGGAAACCATAGAGTTTTCCCTCGGATGACTGTGGCCCTGCCCCCAGCATGCCCGGCATGGTCACGTCACTTCCGGGTGACGTGCACGTCGAGGTGGAGTTCCCCCCAGGGCCCGATCCACCGGTGGCGGGGAACGGACCTCTGGGGCCTGGGTTTCCCCGCCCCCCCGGGGGGACTTGGCAAGCCTAGCTCCTTCCCTGAGGGAAATAGCATCTAGTAAAAGGGAGAAATCCCTATTAAGTGTTTAAGAAGGAAAAATGGAATTTGTGTGTATGTTCCTGCCTTCACAAACAAAGTATTTTTGAGACAATAAGCTTTTGCCTGTTTATTTAAGCAGTGACTACCAAGAGATCACTCTCCACAGTTTTTAAGACCTGTCCATAGAACCAAACAGCTACTTTATTGTGACAAACTATCTGTTGTATATAGGCATTCTTATTGCCTGTTCACCTGCCAAATTTAAAACCTAAAACTTGCCTGACGTCTGACTTGACCCTTTCCCCTCAAAAGTGAAATAAGCAGTTTGCTTGTTTTGAATTACTAATAGCCTCTCTTCTGCCGTAATCTGATTTATACGAACAAAGGATTTTTGTGGTTCCTCGGTTTTCACCCAATACTTACAATAAAAGCCTAGGTTAAAAGATTGTTAAATGAAGTACATTAAAATACATGGATGCATATAGCTGCCTTGTACTGAATCAGACCATCATTCTATCAAGGTTAATGTTGTCTATTCAGACCCACCAAAGCTCTCCATGGTCTCAGATGGAGGTCTTTCTCATCACATACTACCTGGTCCTTTTAACTAGAGATGCCATGGATTGAACCTGGGACCTTCTGCATGCCACAGATGCTCTACCACTGAACCATGCCCCCTCCCAGGACTGCTTCTCAAATAGTGCTTTTTCTTCATGCATGAGGAAAATAACTCCTGTGGGAAAACATGCTTTCACATTGATTATATTCATAACTCAACAAAATATGATCACATTCATGTCAAGGTTGCTTTTCTATTTTATACTGAATGAGAAGGAAACCCTTGCAGTTCTCTGTCTCAGCCTCACAGTGTCACTGTTGACCAATACACTAGCAAGATAGGGGGTGGCCATCCACGATGCTCTCTCCAGTGTGATTATTTCATTGGCACCGTACGGATGGGGGAAAAGGAAGCACCAAGACAGAGCAATCTTGCTGCAAAAAGAAAAACGTCTGTGGAATTTAAACAGAAAGACAGTTTCTGAAATCTCCTCTGTTCTGTGGAGAATTTTATCTCAACCAAACGAGCTGAAGAAAAAGAAAGCAGCCAATTTCTCTGGTATCTAGATGGAGAGAAGGCTCGGAGACAATGGCCAGGCACTTGAATGGCAAGTACTGCTTCTCTTACTATTATCTTTCTCCTGCTGGGCTGCTTCAGATCAGTTTCATTACTCAATCCCCGAGGAGTTGCCAAAGGGTTCTATTGTGGGGAATCTTGCCAAAGATTTGGGACTGAATACCAGAGAACTAGAAGATCGCAATGTGCATGCAGTGTCTTTGACTAACATGCAATATTTCAGTGTCAGTGCAGAAAACGGAAACCTCTATATAAATGACAGAGTAGACAGGGAGGGAATTTGTGATGCAACTTCACTTTGCCTTATACATTTTGAGCTAGTGATTGAAAATCCCTTAAACATTTACCATGTAACTATAATGATACAGGACATTAATGATAATGCACCACATTTCCTCAGTGACAATATCAACTTGGAAATCATTGAATCTACTTCACCTGGTACCAGGTTTCTCCTTGAGAAAGCTGAAGATCCTGACATTGGGACCAATTCTGTCCAAAATTATCAACTTAGTCAAAATCAGTACTTCACTTTGGATGTTAAAGAAAGTCAGGATGGAAATAAATTTGCAGATTTAGTACTGCAGAAACCACTAGATCGAGAAAGTGAACACGCCCTCCACTTGATCCTAACAGCTATGGATGGGGCAGAACCTAGAAAAACTGGGACCACCCATATATGGATTAATGTCACTGATGCCAATGATAATGCACCAGTTTTCACCCAAGATGTTTATAAGGTCAGCCTGAAGGAAAATGCTCCTGTTGGGTCTTGTGTACTTCAGGTTGTGGCCTCTGATAATGATGAAGGTTCATATGCCCGAATCAGGTACAACATACAAGGGAACGACCACCAGAAATTCAGCCTGGATTCAGCCAGTGGCACAATTACACTTATAGGACCACTGGATTTTGAGGAGATTAAAGAGTATACCATGACAGTAGCGGCAAAAGATGGAGGTGGCTCAGTGACACATTGCAAAGTTGAAATACAAATTCTTGATGAAAATGACAACTCCCCAGAAGTAACTCTGGTTTCTTTGTACAGCCCAATTCCTGAAGATTCCCTGACTGAAACCTTAATTGCTCTGATCAATATACATGACAAAGATACTGGTGATAATGGAAAGGTTACTTGCCACCTATCAGAACATCAGCACTTCAAGATTCTTCCTTCATCTAATCATTATTACAAACTCTTTTTAGACCATCTACTAGACAGAGAAAGAACTCCAGAGTACAATATTACAGTCATTGCCATAGACAAAGGGAATCCCTCTCTGTCAACACACAAAACCATCTCAGTACAGATCTCTGATATCAATGACAATTCCCCTACTTTTGAGAAGTCTTCCTATGCCATCTATGTGCTAGAAAACAACCCTTCTGGTGCTTCCATTTTCACTGTCAAAGCCTCAGACCCAGACATGGACCAAAACTCACAAATCACATATTCCATCCTCCACAGCAACATCAAGGAGCTCCCCATCTCTTCATATATCTCCATAAACTCTGAGACTGGAGCTCTCTATGCCCAGAGGTCCTTTGACTATGAACAGTTCAGAGAGATCGAGCTTCAAGTGAAGGCCCAAGATGGTGGTTCTCCCCCTCTCAGCAGCAATGTCACAGTGAGGGTGCTCATTTTGGATCGGAATGACAACACCCCACAGATACTATCCCCTTCACAAGAAGCCAGGGGCTCAGCCTTGTTTGAGATGGTACCTCGTTCGGCTGAGGCAGGATATCTGGTCACAAAGGTGGTGGCCGTGGATGCTGATTCTGGACACAATGCCTGGCTTTCCTACCATGTCATTCAAGCCACTGAACCAGGATTCTTCACTGTTGGTTCTCACACTGGAGAAATCAGGACAGCAAGGGCCTTTGTGGAGAAAGATGCTGCAAAACAGAAACTGGGAATTTTGGTGAGGGATAATGGGCAGCCATCTCTCTCAGCCACTGTGACACTGAACCTGGTGTTTGCTGAGAACTTTCAGGAGGCCCTTCCAGAAATGAAAAACCAGTCCAGCAGCCCTGACTATCAGTCCGACCTGCAGTTCTATCTGGTGCTGGCCTTGGCTTTGATGTCATTCTTGTTCCTCTTGACGGTGATTCTGGCCATTCTGATGAAGCTTCGAAAATCAGGGAATCCCAAATTCCTGCAATGTTTTGGTCCTATTCCCCATTCAAGTGCTGGTGCCATCTTCCCACCAAATTTTGAAGATGGGACTTTGCCTTATTCCTATCAGGTTTGTCTGTCCTCAGAATCCAGGAAAAATCAGTTTACTTTCCTAACACCTCATGCTCAGATTGCAGACAATTTTATTTCTGGTGACAAATCTGGTGTGTCTATCCTAAACAACGGAGGAGAAAATATGAATTCTGAAATGCAGAGTTGTGAGAAGGTAAGTTCCCTGTTGTGATTTTTTTTCCTCCTGTAACATGCTCAATAACCCCTTTACCACGTCTGGAGTACTATAATACATTAATGTGCCGATGTAGTTTATTAAAACCTACTGAGATTTAAACAGATGAAATAATTTAGTAGATTATGAACATTAAATTAAACCAGTTGGACTTTAATTTCTATCCTGCCTATGAATGTATTAAGGTTTGAGAGGTTTTGCTTGTTTTAAACTGCATCATTGAAACCAGGACTGATTTCACACAAGAGCTGCGCCATGGTCGCACCTCCCTTTGCCCCACTTCTATTGGTCAATTTGCCACTCAAAGCAGCGTGGCGGCATTTTGACCCGCAACTTTGTCGATTTCCCCTGCGGTTTTGTGGTCCTGTTTTTTGATGATCACGAAACCATGGGGAAAATTGGGCGAAGCCGCGGGTCAAAATGTGGCCGTGCGGCTTCGAGTGGGAAATTGACCAATAGAAGCGGGGCAGAGGGAGGTGCGGCCGCTGCACAGCTCTTGTGTGAAATCAGTCCAGGAGAATGAAAGTACTTATTCTTTGTTGAGTTGTTTTAGCTACTATATATGATTTGAGGACTGATGCTTAAAATTACTTGTTATTAAAGAAAATATAGTATATGGAAGAAATAAACTCCAATAAGAGTTTATTTAAGCAAAATATGGTGATAACTTTTATATACTCCCATTTCCCTAGTTGTCTGTTTACACTGTTGGTTGGATGGCCCATGTGCATTCATAAAAGTACTTTCTCCCCCACCCATACTTGCCAAGAACAATAGTTCAAGCAAAACAAACAAAAAGGATTCACTGTTATAGTTTTTTAAACAACAGTGTCACAATATTTACTTCTGGGCGTGGAACAGCGGTCACTGCAGGTGTGGAGGGGGAGGTATTTGTGAATTTCCTGCATTGTGCAGGGGGTTAGACTAGGTGACCCTGGAGGTACCCTCCAACTCTATGATTCTATGGTTCTGTGAACGTGTCTGGGTTCTGGGATTTTTTTAAAGCCAAATCCTACCTGAAACATTTGGGGAGATGTGGTGGGGAGAAGTTAAGCGTGTCAGCAGATAATCCCATTCCTTTTTTTTCCTGCTCAGGGAAAGAAAGATGCCTAAATACACCTGAAGTTACATTTACTGATCTGGAAACAGTTGGTAGTTTTGGAAATCCCTTGCATCAGTTACCGCCTATATTGCTGTTAAAGTAAAGCTAAAGTAGGGAAATGGAACTGTGTGCAATCTGTTCTCTACTGGAAGCATTATTGTAAGAGTTATTGTTCATACAACTGAAAATGTAAACACACAATCATGTTTTTTTATAAAGCTAGAAAATAGTTTACATTTTGCATCTGAAAACTGTGTATATAAGCATGAAAACTGTGTATATAAGCATGAAAAAGGCAAGGCAGATTTTCCATGTCATTCAGAAATGAAGACATCCCTTGCAGTTCGCTGATTGATGCTCAGAGTGTCGCTGTTGACCAATGTACTTCGCACGGAAGAGCTGGGAATCTTCTGAAGGATGCTTCCTGCACTGAGTTTGCTTAGTTTTATACTGCAGATCAGGGGGAACGGCATGACAGAACCATCCAAATAGTTTTCCTGAAAGGGAAAAGCAATAACAACCCTGATACCAGGAACAGGTTTTATACTTCCTTACTCTGTATTTTCACTGGAGAGTTGAAATTCATCAGCTGAACACAAAGAACCAAAAGAAAAGAAAGCAAGTGGAATGGATAACAGACACCAAGATGACACCAGATTGGTAAAAAGGCAAGTACACTTCCTCTTATTAATTTCTTTGTTCTGCAAGGCTACTTCAGAGCACGTTCGGTATTCCATTCCAGAGGAAATGGAAAAGGGTTCTGTTGTGGGGAATCTTGCCAAAGATTTGGGACTGAACACTGGAGAAATAGCAGATCGCAATCTGCATGTCCTAGCTCTAGGCAAAAAGCAGTATTTTGCTATTAGTGAAGAAAATTGGAATCTGCATGTAAACAGCAGGATTGATAGAGAGGAAATATGTGGGGGGAATGCACTCTGCCATATCAGTTTTGAAGCTGTGGTTGAAGACCCTATGAATATTTTCCACATAAATGTGGAGATTCAGGACATTAATGATAATACACCACATTTATTAAATGGAGATATCAAAATAGAGGCAAGTGAATCAACCTTACCAGGTACCATATTTCTCCTTGGGAAAGCTGAAGATCCTGATATTGGAATGAACTCTGTCCAGAATTATCAGCTCAGCCAAAACCACTATTTTGTTCTAGAAGTTAGAGAGGGAGAAGATGGAAGTAAATATGCTGAACTGGTGCTGAATAAACAGTTGGATCGGGAAAGTGAAAGTAGTTTCCATTTAACCCTTTTGGCTGTAGATGGAGGGAAGCCTGCCAAAACTGGGACAGCCAAAATTTTGATAAATGTAATTGATGCCAATGACAACCCACCTGTGTTCACTCAAAAAGTATACAAGGTCAGCTTGAAAGAAAATACCCCCAAAGGATCTTCGGTGGTGCAGGTGAAAGCCACTGACAGAGATGAAGGGTCCAATGCCCAGATCACTTACAGTTTCAGCAACATTGCTAAAAGTACTCATCAGAAATTTTCTTTGGATCCACAAGTTGGGACAATTACAGTTATGGAGACTTTAAACTTTGAGGAAACCGAAAAATATTCTGTAGCAGTAGAAGCCAAAGATGGAGGTGGATTAGTGGCTCAGTGTAATGTTGAAATAAAAATAATAGATGAGAATGATAATGCTCCAGAAATTCTTCTTGCCTCTTTGTCCAACCCAGTATCAGAAGATTCGGTATCAGGAACTTTGGTAGCACTTATCAATGTAAATGACAGGGACTCTGGAGAAAATGGAAAAATTACTTGCCATTTACAAGAGAATTTGCCATTTCAAATAGTTCCGACATCTAACAACTACTATAAGTTATTTACAGATGGTTCATTGGACAGAGAAAGCACCCCAGAATATAATATCACAATCACAGCCACAGACAAAGGCACTCCCTCTCTCAGTACACACAAAACCATCTCACTAAGCATTTCAGACATCAATGACAATCCTCCAGCTTTTGAGAAAACTTACTACATAACATATGTGCCAGAGAACAATCCTTCAGGCTCCTCCATTTTCAGGGTCAAAGCCTCTGACCCAGATCTGGATCGCAATGCACGAATCCTTTACTCCATCCAAAAGAGTAACATTGAGGACCTGCCTCTCTCCTCTTATGTCTCCATTAACTCTGAGACTGGAGTCATTTATGCACAGCGTTCCTTTGACTACGAACAATTCAGGGAGTTCCAACTTCAAGTGAAGGCCCAAGATGGAGGCTCTCCTCCCCTCAGCAGCAATGTCACAGTGAAAGTGTTTATTATGGACCAGAATGACAACACCCCTCAGATCCTCTACCCTTCCAAAGGAGTGGAAGGCTCAGCCTTGTTTGAGATGATCCCTCGTTCAGCTGATGCAGATTATCTGGTGACCAAGGTGGTAGCGGTGGATGCTGACTCTGGACACAATGCCTGGCTTTCTTACCACCTGCTTCAGGCCACTGAGCCAGGGCTCTTCACAATTGGACACCATACAGGTGAGATCAGGACATCCCGAACATTTTTAGAAAGGGATGCTGTGAAGCAGAGGGCAGTCATCTTAGTGAAGGATAATGGGCACCCATCGTTATCTGCTACAGTGACGCTGAACCTGGTGTTTGCAGAGAACTTCCAAGAGGCCCTTCCTGAAATGAAGACCCAGTCCTTCAGTCCTGACTATCAGTCTGATCTGCAGTTCTATCTGGTGCTGGCCTTGGCTTTGATCTCATTCCTGTTCCTCTTGACGGTGATTCTGGCCATTCTGATGAAGCTTCGACGATCAGGAAATCCCAAATTCCTTCAGTGTTTTGGTCCCATCCCCCACTCAAACAATGGCGTCGTATTTCCACCCAACTATGAAGAGGGGACACTGCCTTATTCTTATCAACTTTGCTTATCATCTGAATCCCGGATACAGGAATATGCCTTTCCACCAAGCAGTGTTCTAACTGCAGAGAACATTTCTTCTATGAATAAACCTGAGGCACTTTTGACAGCCAATGAGGTAAATATCCTCAGTTCTGAGACAGATAAAGCTGATAAGGTGAGTTTTATTTTGAGCAGTACTTGCTCCACTTTTTATGTTGTCATTGGAATTGAAAAAAATATATATATAATGATGTTGAGTACGGTTACCAACCTCTTGGTGGGGCCTAGAGTTTACCCAGAATTACAGTTGAGCTCCAAACTACAGTAAATTAGTTTCCATGATGAAAATGGCAGCTTTGGAGAGCAGACTCTATGGCAGTGCATCTCCACTTAGCTTCTTCCCTTCTCCAAACTCCACTCACCCCAGATTCCACTCCCAAATCTCCAGGAATTTCCTGACCCAGCACTGGTAACTTTAAGGTTGAATCTGAAATCTCCATATAGGCAATTTATGTATTTTAATTTCAGCTTCCCTGAATTGATCTTAGCTGTGTCTAATCTATATCTTTGTCTCAGCTTTGCTAAATATTTATTACAATTTTAATGGCTCAGAGTAATTCTATTGTAATCAGTGAAGATTTTGGATCAAAGGTATATGTGAAGATAAGAGAGAGTTGTGGTGGTCAGAGAGAAAGATCCCACTAGGGAACTGAGACAATCAGAAAAGTTATTTTGCTTTGGCCTGCTTCTGGACAATAATAGTGAGAGGTCGAGGAGGGTACTATATAGTTTAATATAAATGGTATATAAAAGTGAGCACATCTTGACTGCTTAGAGATGCCAAACAACAACAACAAAAACCCAATGTGAATGTTAAAGCAGCACCAATATGAAGAATTAATTTGATATCTTGTCATATTATTGTTTTGTGGTTATTCTTTATATTTATATAGTACAAAACAAATATTCAATGTGGTTCACATACATTTATCTTTGGCCCCTGCCACACGGCAGGGAAAACACTGGCCAAAGTGTGGCTTTTAAAAGCCACACCAAAAAAGAGACACCGCGGCGGGATCCCATGATCCCCTGAGCCGCGGCGCCGTTGCTCCCCGGCACGATCAGATGCCGGGGAGGAAGAGACGATTGGGAGAGGGAGGCTGCCGAACTGCGCATGCTCGAGCATGCGCAGTATGGCCGGGGATGTGCCGGCGGAAGGATGCGCCGGCGATCCCACGGCCAGCAGTGATGCGGCCTTTCAGAAAGAACCACTTAGGTAGGTGGTTCTTTTTTGCTGCGGGGTTTGGCCAGGAGGGGCGGATTGGGAACGGGCTGGGAATGAGCGCAGCACAATTCCCAGATGTTGCTGTGGGATCGCGCCCGTTTGCTGCGGCCCCGATCCGTCCCTCTCCCGGCCCAAAACGTCTCGTGTGAACAGGGCCTTAGTAACCCAAATTCTGAGTTGCTGTGAAGAAGAGCGGGGTAAAAAAATTACAAGTTTACTTCTAACTTTTGTATCTAACCTTTTGGGCAGTGAACTGCTGTGCCAGGGTGGGTCCTCCTGTGATTCCCATTATAGGCTAAGGACTGAGACACGATGCTTGTCTGAGGCCACCAGTGAATTTGTGGTTGTGATTAGATTTGATCAAGGAATTTCATCGTTCAAACTTTAGCCACTACTTGAAAGAATGCCTTTTTATGCATTACCCCATAGGGATTTACAAAGTACAGAAAGGAAACAACAAGAAAAATTTAAATATGCAATCTACATATCCTATGTCCACAGAGAAAATAATAAATAAATCAGGCTATTTCAAGGAGACTTACAGTGTAAGAGCTGTACTTTTCCTAAGAAGTACATTGACTTCAATGGATATAGTCAGGGGTAACTCTGCTTTGGATGGCACCGCTAAATTACATGAAACAGATTAAGACATGAAAATCAGTCATGCAAACATCCTGACTATGGCTGAAGAACATTAAAACAGTTTCTGTCCAGCAGACCAGTGTAATCATTCCCCTTGTCTAATCAATGGCTTCATTTGCCTGCAAGTAGCTTGTGTCTGATATTCTCCATAAGTGCTATAAAACAAAGAACTTTGAAACTTCAGGATCCCCCCCCCAAAGAAGTAAGACATGATCATGTGTCAAAATCAACCTTTCTGTGATACCAGATTGATTTTCGCAACTGTTGGGCAAATAGAGAGTCAAATGCTTAATTGCTTTCCCTATCATGGTTATGACTGGTTCTTAGGCAATGTCTTCTTAGAACTATCGAGGGCATTGTGTGAAATTTATAAGGTACAAGTGCACACCTATGAAGAATATTAGATAAATTCACAGAGACAGGTCTATCAGTCACTCCTAGTGATAACTGAATGGAACCAACATGTTCAGAAGCAGCATGTTTTTGAATGCCAGTTCCCAGGGTTAAAATTTGTTATGGTCTCTTTTGTTACATAACATAAAAAACCCAAAGAATGTGCATTTTTAATTTTTTTCAATCATAAAGTAAATTTGGAGGAATTAATCTCACCAAATAGCATTGAAGCCTATTTGGGGGTAAATAATGCCTGATCTGGACAGAGATGGTAATAGGTCTTGGTTCTTTAAAATTTAGTTTGACACTTTTCTGCATAGGAAATTGTTTCTCAAAGGCCCAAATAGTTTCTATCAAGATATACATGGTGAGAAGGGTAAGACACTGGATAAAAGGAAGAAGAAGATTAGTAAAGATTTAACGCTGTTTGTTACGACATTCAGTTATAGTTTGTGTGATGGTTCCCTGGCAGGTATTGGGAGAAGGGAAAGTTTTCCTTTACCAGCAAGCATTGGAAGGCAGCAGTGGATGCGGTGGGCAGATTAGACTGGATAGTGAGTGGAGCAATTTAGGGTGCAGGATTTCAGTCGGAATCTAATGTAGGTTAATGGTTCTGCTGCATTATAGGAATGTTGATTCAAATGCTCAACTTGCATGTTTGTAAATAAAGCAAGTACTACAAAAATGCTTACATTTCCAGTGCTCTCTGATCTGGAGGAAGCCAAACATGGGCCCCGGTCACACGGGCAGGAAACTGCGGAGGAGAAGTGTGGCTGTTTGCCCCGAGGCAAACTAACATGCAGTAAAGCGATCAGACCTACTGTGGAGGTTCTGTGGAGGTACTGTGGAGCTTCCGTGGATAGGGAGAGGTGCCGATCACAACACACGCCTGCACGCAATGAAGAAGCGCGCGGCGCGGCGAACTGGTTTTCCTTTTTTGTGTACACTACGAATGCACATGCTCCGTTGGGTGCGTGTGCGCATCCACGGAGACTTGGGGAAAAAAAACCCTTTTCCACAAGGGGACATGGGCGGGCACCGGATGCCACCGGAAACGCGATCAGACGCCCGCCCTTGCCCCGCAGTTTCCGGAAACTAGTACCTCCGAGGTACTAGTTTTTTGCTGCGCAGCTTCGACGGGAAGCCTCGGTTGTGCCGCGGAAGCACTACGCTTCCCAGATGTGCCGGTGAGATCGCGCCTGGAAACTCCGCCGGTCTTCCATCTCTCTTGCGTGGCTACTGCTCCGTGTGACCGCAGCCATGGTAGCTCTTTGAAGCCAAACATTGGCTGCGGTCACACGCAACATTAGCCACGCAAGAGATACAGAAGACAAGCGGAGTTTCCGGTCGCGATCTCACCAGCACATCTGGGAAGCGTAGCGCTTCCGTGGCACAACTGAGGCTTCCTGCCGAAAAAGCGCAGCAAAAAACTAGTACCTTGGAGGTACTAGTTTCCAGAAACTGCGGGGCAAGGGCGGGCGTCTGATCGCGTTTCCGGTGGTATCCGGCGCCCGCCCATGTCCCCTTGCGGAAAAGGGTTTTTTTTTTCCCACGTCTCCGTGGATGCGCACACGCACCCAACGGAGCATGCGCATTCGTAGTGTACACAAAAAAAGAAAACCAGTTCGCCGCGCCGCGCGCTTCTTCATTGCGCGCAGGCGTGTGTTGTGATCGGCACCTCTCCCTTGCCATGGAACCTCCACAGTACCTCCACAGAACCTCCACAGTAGGTCTGATCGCTTTACTGCATGTTAGTTTGCCCCGGGGCAAACAGCCACACTTCTCCTCTGCAGTTTCCTGCCCGTGTGGCAGGGGCCATTGTGGCTCTTCCCTTGGAAGAGCTCACTCAGGAAGGTAGGGAGGAGGTTACACAAAACACCTGCTTTTAGGATGCCATTTCATTGGAAAGAAACTGAGCAGGAGTGATTGAAGCTGGAGTGGAGGCTGTAGAAGTGAAGCTTCTAGCACAAATTGAGGTTTTGAAGCATGTGGCAGTATTAACACCATGTTACAAAATATCGATGAAACTACTTTGGGTTCGATCACATGAGCAGTTTGGCCTGACATAGCCACTCCTCCCCTCTGGATCAAATGAGTGTGATCAGATGCACACATCTGGCTCCCGTGCCCCAGTTGTCTATACCTCACACTAAAATGACCCTTTGGGAATGCTGTGCAGAAACATGGCTGATCAATGATGTTCGATGAATTAATTTAGGGTGGAACATGTACAAACATGTGGGCAAAAGACTGGCCTTTTCGGCTTGGAAAGGAAGATTAGGAGCCTGTAATGACACTTTGAGGCTCCAGTCTAGATCTCCATATGAACTCCAGTACCTGCGTGTTGCAGTCTTATCTTCTGTTAAATTATATGGCAAGCTCTTCTGGCACAAAAGGATGCACATGGCTGTTTACTGAACTGATTTGAGGCAAGAGACTTTGAGGTCTGCGGGAGGTCTATGTTAGACATCAAAATATGGTGGAGGAGGTAACATGTATATAATATCTCTTTCCATGAGTCTTGCTGCTCTATACCACTCTCAAATGTTTAATAGTCTCCATTTGACTTCCCAACAACTCCACCCATTTCTCCTTGGATAATGCCCCTTGCACCTAGAAATCCATCCCAGAATCTCTCCCTCTCTTTTCCTTCAAGTCCTTCAAGACTCATGGTGCTATATAATAATTATTGATATTAATAAAAATAGAGACAATGTTAGAGGAAGGAGAGGTTAAGGAAGGCTTAACCAGATATGTACAGATTGTATACCTGACTGTTGGTTAGAAAATAGAATAAGGGCTTGGAACTATTAGATACATTAAAATGTTGTAATAAATTTCCTCAACGAATTTTCAGTTCAGGGCTGAGCTGGCTACATTACCAAAGGACATCTTTCAGTTTCTGTTTTTTTTAGACTTTTGTATTCAAGGATTCCACCCTGGAGCGCCTCAGAGATTACCAGAGAGCTAATTTGATAGTAAGTTGCTCCTAGTGTCTACAATGCAATAGAGTTCAGCACACTTAAGCCCATTGAAATCTACAGACTGAAACATGCTTAACACTGTGTTGAATTGTAGCTACTATATTTTGTTGGGAATGATTATGTAGGTAGGTTTAAATTTTGGCCAATAACTAATTCATTTCTGTTGTTGGAAAGGGGATTTTTTATCCCAATTCATGAGAAATTTGCCTTTCATTGGAATACGGAGCTTGTTTCTTTGGCTTGATGTTTCTGGAATAATTTTCTTTTCAGGTACCTTTCCACAGGTCATCCTTTTTCCACTTGGTGATCTTTGGTTGCAAGGATAATGAAGGCTTGGTGAAGGGATTGTCTCGCCTTGTGGTTTATTGTGGTAGATTGGACTAAGTAAATTTTGAAGCACATTGGACTAAATAAATATTGAAGCCTTCCATCTTAGTGATTTTTTAATTCAGTATTGTGCTGGGGTTTCTTTGGTGGTGGTGTGTTTGCCATATACTTATACATGTACCTCTCCCATTGCGGACATGTAGTCCAGCATTTCCCTAAGAACTCGTACCTTCTGAGATCTCATATCTAAAGCACATCTTTGTATAACCCTTTTCTTCTAAACTTCGAAGAAAGGAGGTTTGTGGAAGATGATAAATGGAAGATTCTACCACTTGAGAATGAGAATATTTCTCTGGTCTACATCTTTGCAGTTTACTATTGTTGTTGTTATTCAGTCGCACAGTCGAGTCCGACTCTTCGCAACCCCATGGACCACATAATGCCAGGCTCTCCTGTTGTTGGGATTCTTTGGATACATCAGCAGAGTATTAAGAGACCATGATGTGTATTAAAATATAAAAGTTTACTATAAACCTAACATGGGAAAAGGTACACAGGATAGAAAATAAGAAAGAGCTAGTATGTCTACAGCCTTGCAGCTAAAGGGTAAAACGGGAAGAGCCGAATGGCATCTCCTTCTCTAGTCAGAACAAAGAACGAGGAGGAGAAACAAGTATGCTAAAAACTTGACACCTTGGTTTCCAATCAGAGTAGCAAATTAGCTCCAAAGTTCCCGGGCATCCTGTTGTCTAAGCAGATTGGTTACAAACAAACATGTGACTTAACAAACATCATTAACCCTGTGAATACTGAAGTGTTTTTACTTGTAACACCCAACACCTGTCTTCCGTCATGCTCCGGAATTTGCTTAATTTTATGTTTCATGTACTATACTTTACTGTATATTTCACCCTCAGAAGCTGCAGTGAATAAAATGGTGAATATTCTCCTTGCCATTGCAGAAATGGACAATATGTCTCCAGTGCCTTCTCGCCCATCTTAAAGCTTGGCCACAGTGCCATCACCTTCCAGGAGCACTACTCAGATGCACAGAGTCATTTGCACAAGAATCAGCAGTCACTCTGCACAGAGTCACTTCGGGAACCACAAAAACAAATGTTCCATTAGTCATTTTTGTTTTTCATTTGCACAACAAGAGTCATCATACATCTGGTCTCATCATGTGGGAGCTCACATGATCAAATTCTCCTGCATAACTCTTCCCAAAAATCTTCCAGATAGAAAACCATATATCAGAAAGTCTTCCATACTGAGGCTCTGTTTATTCTGCTTCACTATAATTTACTTTGTTTCATTAGGAAAGCTATTTGTGCACTATATGAGTTGAGGAGGGACAGGAGAACTAGGATCAGTTAAGAAGTCTGGTACGCTGTGAGCTCCTCTGAAATCAACATGGAAGTAACAGGTGCAATACCCCATGCCAGTAGAATTAGAACAAAAAATAATAATGGGATAAAAGTGGGGTATCAGAGAATATCACAATCATTGCATTTAAAAAAAACCCTGATGTAGACAGAGGGAATGAATCGTTAAAACAACAGAAGCTTTCCAACGATTCCCCCCCTAAGATCAAATCCAGTTGTTTTTTCTTTAAGTGGACAAGAAAGCAACTCTTGCAGTTCTCTGTTTGAACCTCAGTGTGTCACTGTTGGCCAACATGGCAGCCCAAAAGTGTCTGATGCATCCTTAGCATATGATTGCTTCAAACAATGCTGTATCTATTGGAGAAACTGCAGAGAACAGGGACGCAACAATCCTGCTGAGAAGCGAAAACAAAACCAGGGATGGCCTGTGAAAATTGAGCTTCAAGGCAAGATTCTTCCATCCTGTGATTGACTGCACCCAGAAGAGAATTTGATCTGATCTGGAGAGGAAAAGGAGACTGCTCGTTTATTGAAAGCTGTATGGAGAGAAGGCAGAGAGAAAATGGCCAGGCACACCGAAGGCAAGTACTGCTTCTCTCCTTATTGTCTTTGTGCTGCTGGGCTGCTTCAGAGCCGGTTCGGTATTCAGTGCCTGAAGAGATACCGAAGGGTTCTGTTGTGGGGAATCTGGCCAAGGATTTGGGACTGAATGCTAGAGAACTAACTAAACACAATCTGCATGCTGTCTCTGTGACTAAAATGCAGTATTTCAGTATCAATGCAGAGAATGGAAACCTCTATGTGAATGACAGAATAGACAGGGAGGGAATTTGTGGCAAGAATCCACTTTGCCTTGTAAATTTTGAGGCAGTGATAGAAAACCCTCTCAATGTTTTTCACATAACTGTGGCAATTCAGGACATTAATGATCATGCACCACAGTTCCTCAGAGGCAATATCTACTTGGAGACGAGTGAACTAACATTACCAGGCACCAGATTTCTTCTTGGGAAAGCCGAAGATCCTGACATTGGAAGGAACTCTGTGCAGAATTACCAGCTGAGTCTCAATCAGTATTTTAGCTTGGAAATTAAAGACAGTCAGGATGGAAATAAATTTGCAGATTTAATACTACAGAAACCACTGGATCGGGAAAATGAACATACCATCCACTTGATCCTAACAGCCATGGATGGGGGTGAACCTATAAAAACTGGCACCACTCAAATATGGGTGAATGTCACTGATGTCAATGACAACCCACCCATCTTTAGTCAAGAGTCCTATAAAGTCAGCTTACAAGAGAAAGCACCTCTTGGGTCTTCTGTTCTCCAAGTTGCAGCTTCTGATAATGATGAAGGTACAAATGCCCAAATCAGATACCATTTTAGCAATTTAGAAGCAGATGGCCAAGAGAAATTCAGCCTGGATCCAATCAGTGGCACAATTCTTCTTGTGGGGCTTTTGGACTTTGAAGAAACAAATGAATATACTATGACAGTTGCAGCAAAAGATGGTGGAGGACTGGTAACTCATTGCAAAGTTGACATAAGCATTCTTGATGAGAATGATAATTCACCGGAAGTGAGCTTAGCCTCTCTGTTCAGCCCAATACCTGAAGATTCCCTTTCTGGAACTCTTATTGCTCTGATCAATGTAAATGACAAAGATACTGGAGATAATGGTAAGGTTACTTGCAGCATACAAAACGATTTGCCCTTTAAAATTCTATCGTCATCTAATAATTTCTATAAACTCGTTTTGGACAGACCTCTGGACAGAGAAAGAACACCAGGTTACAATATCACAATCACTGCTACTGACCAAGGGACACCTCCACTCTCTACACAGAAAACCATCTCACTACTTATTTCGGATATCAATGACAATGCCCCTACTTTTGAGAAATCTTCCTATACTATCTATATTCCAGAAAACAATCCCTCTGGTGCTTCTGTTTTCACAGTCAAAGCCTTAGACCCAGATGTAGATAAAAATTCACGAATCACATATTCCATTCTCCACAGTAACATTGAGGAGCTCCCCATCTCTTCGTATATCTCCATTAACTCTCAGACTGGTGCTCTCCATGCCCAGAGGTCCTTTGACTACGAACAGTTCAGAGAGTTCCAGCTTCAAGTGAGGGCCCAAGATGGTGGTTCTCCCCCTCTCAGCAGCAATGTCACAGTGAGGGTGTTCATTCTGGATCGGAATGACAACAGCCCATGGATCTTGTCCCCTTCACAAGAAGCCAAGGGCTCAGCCTTATTTGAGATGGTACCTCGTTCTGCTGAGGCAGGATATCTGGTCACAAAGGTGGTGGCCGTGGATGCTGATTCTGGACACAACGCCTGGCTTTCCTACCATGTCATTCAAGCCACTGAACCAGGATTCTTCACTGTTGGTTCTCACACTGGAGAAATCAGGACAGCAAGGGCCTTTGTGGAGTAAGATGCTGCAAAACAGAAACTGGTCGTCTTGGTGAAGGATAATGGCCAGCCGTCTCTCTCAGCCACCGTGACTCTGAACTTGGTGTTTGCTGAGAACTTTCAGGAGGCCCTTCCAGAAATGAAGACCCAGTCCATCAGTCCTGACTATCAGTCAGACCTGCAGTTCTACCTGGTGCTGGCCCTGGCTTTGATGTCATTCTTGTTCCTCTTGACGGTGATCCTGGCCATTCTGATGAAGCTTCGACGATCAGGGAATCCCAAGTTCCTTCAGTGCTTTGCTCCTGTTCCTCATTCAAATGCTGGAGCCATCTTCCCACCCAACTTTGAAGATGGGACTTTGCCTTATTCCTACCAGCTGTGCCTGTCCTCAGAATCCAGGAAGAATGAGTTCACTTTCTTAGCTCCCAACGTTCAGATTGCAGAGAATGTTCTCTGCAGTAATAAGTCTGGTGTACCTTTCACGGGTGATGGAGGAAACTATTTAAATTCTAACTTGGAAGACAGTGACAAGGTAAGCTTCCTTTTCAATTTTTTTGGGGGTGGTGGTGCATTTTCACATCACCCAGAGCCCGGTGTAAGCTGTGATAGGGCAATTAAATGATGATGATGATGATGATGATGATGATGATGATGATGATGATGATAAGTCACTTAGTAACAGCTGGTCAATGTAAATAGCTCTCAAATTGCGGTCAACTTATGGTAACTCCAGAAAGGGGCTTTCAAGTCAAGTAAGAAGCAGAGGCGATTTACTAGTGTCTTCCTCTACAGACTCTTCCTTGGAGGTCTCCCTTCCACGTAGATCTGATGAGATCAGGCTATAACAGCCTAGTAACTCCTTACCACAACTGAAATGGAAATATTTGCTTTTAGTAGTATGGTTCTCATTTTGGGAAGTTTTCTTCAGAAAAAACATTGGTTTAGCCTTCATGTTTCATCACATTCATAAAATATCCTCTGTTTTTGTTCCACTTGAGGCATTTGCTCCGTGAATGAGGCCAGGAAATCGGAGCCATTATTCTTGTGTGGCTCTGCAGTTGCAAGACTTCTGGCAGGGTGTGGTGAAGCTGGGTTGCATTGACATTAAAGGACTATGACAACCTCTCTTTCAACATGAGCTGCTTAAGGGGAAATATGAATACAATGCACACATTGTCCGAGTCTCCTATGCCTAGTTCAGCATCTATATCCAATATTTGATAACTGCTCCATTTCTTTCTACACCTTGTACCTAAGTAATGACTTCCGTATGCAGATAAGCCATTACAGAGCTCATATCAAAAGCAGAACTTTTATACTGCCTTGCACATTATTCTTTTCAGATGAGAGCTCACAAATCAATCATTGTGTTATCAAATGCTGAGAAAATAAAAGCTCAAAAGATGTTCATACAAGTTCCCATAAGGCCTACAGTTAACAGAACATTTATGGCACCTACTGTAGTGTAACCTTTTAAAATGGAGATGCCAATCACTGACCCTGGATGTTTATACATACGGGGCTGTATCGGAACTTAAGACCCTCCTGTATACTCAGAAAAATGCACATGGATCTTAACTGTACCATTGCAGATAGTGGGGTGGGATTGCATACTGAAGTGGTCTCCTTCCCTCCACATGTAAAGCTATCATATTAAAGTGTACTAGTTTACAATCCTCCCTCACACATTCTAAGTGCAGGACATTTTTTTTCTTGAGGACATTTAGATTTGCCCACCTGTATTTTGATATGGTATAGTCATGGGAGAGCTGTGCCACATACTCTTTCTGAATGTGTAGATTGTGTAGTAATACTAATGCATGATGACTTGAGAAGTGCTCCTTCTTCTACTTTCAGTATTCCACAACATTAATCTAGGATCCCAGTGTTTACAATTTGGACTTCTGTGAATTTGACAGACATTTGTAGGGTCAGTATCTTAACAAGGAAGTGAGGATCATTTTAATTGTTTTTTTTTTCAGTAACAAATTTGGGTATATTTATTTATTCCTGGCCTTTCTTTTCTAAACGGTTGATGATGGAAAAGCTTTGTGTGAAAGAAAATATTTTTCAGCATCCATGAGATACTCATTATATAGATATTACAAGCCTTTTTTAAAAGATTCCAAACAGGGTGTGGGGTTCTGTTTACTAATAATACCGTTTAAACAGAGTGAGAATTCTACATT